CCACAATTTTAATGGTGTTGTTACACAATCAGAAGGGACATGTTTCGGTATTATAACAGACCATCTTCAGCCTAATTGAAAATTCTACAATACAAGGAGATTGATGTGAAAGAATTACATTTTTTATTCGTGACTTACTTGGAGTTGAAAAAGTGTGATTTCAACTCCAAGTAAGTTAAGAACGAATAATGCAATTCTTTCACATCAATCTTTTTATATCGTAGAATAGAAACATGTCCCTTCTGATTGTGTAACAACACCATGAACATTTTTGTGGAGATTACTTCGGAAATTCCTTCCTTCCTTCGAAAAATTTTACTCCACTTTGGGCAATATGGACTCCTACCAAAAATTATATCATTACAGTTTCTAATACGGCATGATTTTCTTAATCCAATGATACCACATATTATATGAGTGACATTTCAAACAATAATTCTTAACTATTTTAATTGTTTTTCATTTCCCATCAGAGTGTGTGTTGACTATTCCAATTCCCTTCTATTATTATAGAAATAAAAAAAAAGTCGAAAACGAGGAATTATATAATGTATCAGCTAATTGAGTTTATCAAAATTGTTGTTGGCACGAACCACATTTTATCTTCAGAAACCATATCGGTACCGTGGTTTCATTCGTTAGTGTTCATGATAAGGGGTTTATTCATAGTATGCCATATATATATGTACTAAATGGACCCCGCACGGCTGAAATTTTACTATGTTGTTGTGGGATGGCTCATTAGAAAAATATGTGAGTTTAAAATGTTTTGTATGTTTAGTATCTGAGATATAAGCCGACAAAGTTCGTAAAAACTTCGTATCGGGGTAGGATTGAAAAAGAAAAAAACTGTTTTTTCTGTGACGGGAAAAAAGTTTGGCATTTCATCTCTGTTGGCAGGTTATAAAATGTCACTTTTCATAAATTACTTTTTTCCCGTGGGAAAAAAGGGAGTACTTTTTTCCCGGATATATATCACATATATATACTCTGTTAATGGCTTTTGTTGTGCTATAGTTCCGAAAAATGAGTCAATAATACCGTCTCCGAGAAAGAACTGCAAGTCCTTTTATCTTCCATTCGACTTCGCGGTTTCGTATATTACTAAACAACTACTGAATTCACAATTTTTTAAAATCAAATCACAGAATTGAACTGACAGAAGTGACATCAGATATTTGATTACTTCAAAAGAATGATAAAGATGCCTATAAAACGCAGGTGTCCTTACTGTTAAAAACTTGAAATTTCACGTCGATAATTTTCAGATTTCGAAATAATGTACTATCTTCTCAATATCGATCCGTCCTTCCTTCTGTCACAGAAAAAAATAGTGTATTATACACGGGAAAAATATTAGATTTTAGCTCACGGTTTTTTGTCTCCCTCCGCTACGCGTCGGGAGACAACACAACCTGGAGCTAAAATCTACTACTTTTTTCCCTTGTATAATAAATAACTATTTTTAGTATAAATAAGACGAAATAAGCTAGAAAATCTACTGATCGGAACTCGAATACATGTCTAGTTATGATCACATAAACTATAGTAAATCAGGGTGAATACGAGGCACGGTCAAAAAATTCATTTTTCGGAAAAAAAATCGACCACTATTAAAAAACTAACAAGTTATATTCTGGTTGGATATTATGGTTTTAGTCTATTATAGGCTTCAGAAACGTATTTTCATTCTTGATATCTATCTCTGTTCAAAATATGAATTCTTTGAATTTTGTGTTATACCCCTTTTGGGAATCAATTGACAGCTTGTTTTTGATCACAAAAAAAGGAATTGATTGATACTGTTGATGGAATGAAAACTGAGGTAACTCACTAGCGAATTCAGTTGTTCAATATTGCCTTTCATTTTGATACAGGGTGTGCTAGATTTTGTTGAAGATTATTGAACATGTTTCAATTGAATATCTCGAAAACAGTTCCGTTAATTTGGATCTCATTCTACTCACACTATTTTGAATATGTTGACTATCATATGCAAAAAGTTTTTAAATTTTTTATGTTACCTTTCTGAGATATGCATCCCTATAATACCTGTAATACTTTAAACTCAAAAATTGATATCTCAGAAACGGAACATAAAAAATTTCAAAACTATTTGCATATGATAGTCAACATATTCAAAATAGTGTGAGTAAAATGAGAACCAAATTAACAAAACTGTTTTCGAGATATTCAATTGAAACATGTTAAATAATCTTCAACAAAATCTAACACACCCTGCATCCAATATTGAACAACTGAATTCGCTAGTGAGTTACCTCAGCTTCCATTCAATCAACAGTTTCAATCAATCCCTTTTTTTGTGATCAAAAACAAGATGTCAATTATTCTCCAAAAGGGGTATAAATAACACGAAATTCAAAGAATTCATATTTCGAACAGGGATAGTTATCAAGAATGAAAATACGTTTTCGAAGCCTACATAAAACTATAATGTCTCACCAAAATATAACTTGTTGGTTTTGGAATAGTGCTCGAATTTCTTTTCCGAAAAATGAATTTTTTGACCGTGCCTCGTATACACCCTGATTTACTATAATTAATGTGATCATAACTAGACATGTATTTGCGAGTGTATTTGAGTTCCGATCAATAGTTTTTCTAGGTCATTTCGTCTAATTTATAATAAAAAAACTGTTTTTTTTTCTTTTTCTACATTCATGCAAAAAACCTCGCAAAAAACAGAACTTTATTGTACTATATTTAGTGGAAAAAGAAGTTCTTTATTGCACTTAGTGCAATAAAGTTTTTATTGCACTCATCTGTCATTCTACTTCAACGTGCTGTCATCATGACAAACATTTTCTATAATGCAACTGTGGTTATAGAAACGTCAGTCAAAAAATAATTCTGACAATTAACAGAATTGTACCTAGTGCCGCACCTCAATAAATCATTTTTTGCTTTTTGCATGAACGTAGAAAAAATGTTGTATGCAACTCGTGCAAAAATTGTTTATTGCACTCGACGTGTTGTCCAACTCGGCCTAACGGCCTCGTCGGACAATTTCACGTCGAATGCAATAAACATTCACTTTTTGCACTTGTTGCATAAATAACTATTGTCAATCCTATACCCCGATACAAAGTTTTTAAAACTAAACATACAAAACTTTTTAAACTCGCATATTTTTCTAATGAGCCATCCCACAACAACATAGTAAAATTTCAGCCAATTCGACCAAGAGCCAATTTCCCGTGTTTTCGTGCGGGGTCCTTTGCAATGCATCCAAACGAAATAATTACATCTGGGCAGAATATAATGAAGCATCAGTTCTAACTAAATGCAAAGGAGAAACAGCATCGCCCCCTACCGCGTCCATTTGTATTTTCAAATCATCCAGGAAACCATCGAAATACTCATATTTAATTTCAACTCAATCGGTTCAGCCGTGTTCAACCGTTTAGAAGAATTGTGAAAAAGATAAGCACGGGAGGATGATTCTTACTACCCGTTGCCCTATTACCCGTTTTTCCGTGTGTATTAAGCTTTTTGCCGGGGTAAAATAGCCTATGTTCATTAGGGATAATGTCGGCTTCTAATTGTGAAAGAGTTTTGCAAAACAGCCCAGTAGTTTGGGCGCCTATTGAAAACAAACAAACAGATAGATAATCTCTAAATACCTATCGCAAAGCATCATCAAAATAATACCCTCCAATGCCACCCCGTAAAATCTTATTCGATTTACTTCTAAGTATAGTTTATCCAGAATCAATTGGAGTGTCTCGTGCCGCATCGCGGCACCGGCAGTCACTTCAAAGGAAACTTCAATTCCGCCGACGCCGCGCGGTGCGGGAGATGCTGCAATTAACTTTGGATACACCTATTCACCTCCACTCATTCGTAAACATTTCCCACATATTCTGAATTCAATTTGAGCTCAAGTTTCCTATAAAACATCAGACACAATTCGAGGGGTGAACCGCGGTAGAATTCTTGTATACAAACAACTGGAATTCATTGGAATTTCCTGGATTTCCTTGAAATTCTTTGGATTTTCTTGGATTTCCTTGACTTCCCGTGGAATTCCTCGGATGTCCTTGGAATTCCCTGGAATTCCTTGCGTGAAGTGCGGTATATTACTGGTCTACAAACAACTGGAATTCCTTGGATTTCCTTAGAATTCCTTGGAATTTTTTGTATTTTCTTGGATTTCCTTGGAATTCTTTGGGTGAAGTGCGGTATAATTCTGGTGTACAAAAAACTGGCATTCCTGGGATTTCCTTGGAATTCCTTGGAATGCCTATGATTTTCTTGGATTTCCTTGCAATTCCTTGGGTTTCCCTGGATTTCCTTGGAATTCCTTAGATTTCTTTGGAATTCCTTGAATCTCCTTGTAATTTCTTGAATCTCCTTGTAATTCCTTGAATTGGATACAAACAACTGGAATTTCTTGGATTTCCTCAGAATGCCTTGGAATTCCTTGGATTTCCTTAGATTTCACTGAAATTCTTCAGATGAAGTGCTGTATAATTCTGGTGTTCATACAACTGGATTTTCTTGAAATCCCTTGGATTTTTTCGAAACTCCTTGAATTTCCTCGGATTTTCTTGGAATTCCTTGTAATTCCTTGGATTTCCTTGGATTTTCTTGAAATTCCTTGGACTTCCTTGGAATTCCTCGGATTTCCTTGGAATTCCTTGGATTTCCTTGGAATTCCTTGGATTTCCTTGGAATTCCTTGGATTTCCTTGGATTTCTTTGGATTTCCTTGGAATTCCTTGGATTTCCTTGGAATTCCTTGGTTTTCATTGGAATTCCTTGGAATTCCTTGGAAATTCTTGGAATTCCTTGTATGAAGTGCGGTATAATTCAGGTGTACAAACAACTGGAATTCCGTGGAATTTCTTGGAATTCATTGAAACTCCTTGAAATTCCTTGTGAAAATGAAGTTTGGTGTACAAAATTTTGACCGCGTTTTACCCCTCGACACAATTGAAAACCCCTAAAACACCTCACTGACACAAACTTATCACTCAGGGATCAGCACCAGGAGCCCCCTCATACCCCCAACAGCCGCCCCACGGGGGAGCACCTTACCCCACAAGTGGACCTGTTAACCCCAACAGCTTCGGTTACCCCTCCAGCGCTCCAATGTACATGCCCCAACCGATGCCCATGCCTGCCGTTCCCCCAACTTCCAATGCCTACCCTCCCCCTCCAAGCAACTCCCCATATCCTCCCGCTGGAGGAGGCTATCCTCCCTCTGGAGGTGGCTATCCTCCCTCTGGAGGTGGCTATCCTCCCTCTGGAGGTGGCTATCCTTCATCATCAGGAGGAGGGTATCCTCCGTCGGGAGGGGGATACCCTCCCCGATCAGGAGGGGCTTATCCTCAATCAGGGGGTGGTTATCCTCCTTCGTCAGGAGGAGGATATTCTTCATCGGGTGGAGGTTATCCCTCATCTAATCACAGTCCCGCTCCTGGTGCTCCTCCCAGGGGGTCACATGGTTATCCTGGAGGAGGTTCGAGTGGGCCCTATGGAGGACAATCGTATGCCCAACACAGTAGTCCGCAAATGTCGCAGCACACTCCCAAAAAGGTATGGTTTGTACAAAAAATGGGTTCAATGTTTGTGCTGTTTGATGTGTGCGTCTCAGCTTTAAGGGAGAAAAGAAAGACTTTCAGATTTGCTTGATTTTTTAAAGAATTCGAAACTCACCGGCAAAAAAACGGCTACAAAAAATATTGTTTTTCCCTAGAACTTTTCTATTTTTTGTCCGATTCTAATGATGAAATTTCGAACAGTTTTTCCTAGGAACAAAAATGCAAAGGCTGACATTGCGAAAAATTAATCTACTACGATTTGATCGAAATTTCACCAAAATCGAAACAGAATTTGAAAAGTTGTCTGGCGTTTTTTTGCCGGTGAGTGTGGTTGCTCGAGTAAACCAACAATCTAATTTACCTACAGTATATCTTTGGTTGTAGTCTGACAAATGGAGAAATAAACATTTCAAGAGAACAATTCGGACGTGTTACTCCAAATATAATATTCCGGAAGATTTCTCAAGTTGGTTTAACCCAATAACTTTTTTTTCTGTGACGGGAAAAAAGTTTGGGAGTTTATCTCTGTTGACAGGATATGAAATCTCACTTTTCATAAATAACTCATTTCTGCAACCGAAACAAAAGTCGTCCATTTCAATACCAAAATTAGCTCTTGAATTGACGTTTCTATTACTGGCACAAAAATAGGTTTGTTGCTAGGCAACATATTGAACTTCAATTCCTAGGAGCTAAAGTTGAACTTCAGCTCCTAGGAACTAGAAATTATGTACTAGACGTCCAGAATAAACAACATTGTTACGGTTGGTTATTTGGGTTTGGACGCATACCTGATTTGTTTCCGATATCGGCAGATTTGGCATTTCCTACACATGCTGGAGAAATACACTTCATTATATTTGAGTATAAAAATTAAACACATCTCTATTTTTGTTTTGATCAGGGCAACCTTCAAGATTCAGATACTTGTTTGATCTGTATTTCATTCGTTATTCTCGGCATGGATAACTTGTTTTAGAATAATCACGGCAAGCAATTGTTTTTTGTTTCAAACAACGATATTGATTACCCTTATTTGATTATCAAGTCAAGGAGCATGGAGAGGAATAATTAATTGCTAATATTATTGTTGATGTTGATTTGCTCGCTAACCTAACATTTTCCACGTCTTGTTCCTATAGCTGGCACTAGCGCGGTATTTGCCATTAGAGCACCTGGTTCATACACAAATATGTCACTCTGTGGTTGTATTTATATTGAAACTACAATTTGAACATCCTTGAAAATTGAATGAACCTGCTGATAAAACAGGTAGAATATTCTCACCACACGGATTTTGCATTGATTTTGATTTGTTTCATTGCATACATATGGCACGTCATTTGGTGGTTACTTCACTCACATATTTATTTGAGTCAATTGTTTTGATTGCAGAAAGAATATCATGTTTCATTCGGATCAAAAGTGACTTTGTTTGACAAGCGAATTTTGCATTCGCGAGGCGGAGCGTTTCTACTAATTTCTCACGGAAAAAGAACTGCAAAACCTTCTGTCTCCCATTCGACTTCGCGGTTACGTGAATTACTAACCCACCGAGCAAAGTTGAAACAAATGTTGATGCAATGTTGAAGCAATTACTGAAAAGGACGTTCAGCAATATTGCATAGGTGAAGATAATGTAGCATTGTAGCAATATTACATGTTGCTCTGGCATTTCTGGAACGTTACATTTACAAATTTACATCTGCAATATTGCTGACCGTCCGTTTCAGTATAATTGCAACAACCTTGCATCAACATAGCTTTCAAATCTGCTTAGTAGGAAACAATCACTAGATTCGAAAATTTTCAGAATCAAATCAAAGAATCAGATTGACATATATTTGATTACTTCAAAATAATGATGAAGATGCCTGCAAAATGATGCCTGCAACGCAGTTGTAACTCTTGTTTAAAACTTCAAATTTCACGCCGATAATTTCATGATTTCAATATAATGTGAATGCTTTTAATAAAATGTAATATCTTCTTAATATTGATCCCTCTTCTTTCCTATCTCAGAAAAAAATAGAGTATTATACTCGGGAAAAATATTAGATTCTAGCTCACGGTTTTTTCTCTCTCTGCTAGGCGTCGGGAGACAACACAACCTGGAGCTATAATCTACTACTGTTTTCCCTTGTATAATAAATAACTATTTCATTGAAGGTAGTTCATTGAAATTTGTAGGCTGTGAATGATAGTTCAATTGACATTATTTGACATATCTACTTCCTCCACCGTACTTCCAGATTTTTTAATGGAACACCCTGTATGTTATTTCATAATCCATTAGGGATTATTATAACGTTCTCAACGATAACGGGTTTGATAGGGCTATTTCAAACGATTGTGACGGCGCAATATCGAAATTCCTTTCTCTGATGTTATACTCATGGAGCTCATGGAAACTTTGAATGCAAATCTATCCATAATCGTTCGAAAGAACCCCATCAAACCCGGCATCGTTGAATTAGTTACGATCATATCTAACCGATTAGGAAATAAAATACTCATTCAGAATCCGAAAGTTGGGGTAATTACCAGACAAACCGGAAGTACCTCAAAGCGAGTAGATATGGCAAACAGTCTCAACTAAAGTATCATCCACAGCCGTCAAATTTCGTTTTACTGCCTCCAATGATGAAAAAATTATCGGGAAAATCACCCGGTATATTCATGTTGCTAAATATTTTGGAAAAAGTTGAAATAAAGCTACAGAGGTGATTTGTATGTTGGTCTTGTTATGAAATTATTCTGATGAAGATGATGGTCAATTCCCTTTTACTTCTTGATTACGAGCCACTATTTCTGAAAATGGTATAGTCGTGAATGTCGTGATGACTTGAGAAACAACATTTAGAGAAATAAATTCGTGAGGTTCAGATTCGTTGATGTTGCTCGTTGCTGAAAAAAATTGGGTGGGTTGACAATAACCCTAACTTCAATTCAGAAATCTTCCGAGAAGTTATTGTTGAAAGAGACGAATTCTGATATTAATCATTTGGACATTTTTGCATTACATTATTGTGAGGGTTGCTTGGCTGTGTGCACGTGTATATACAGGGTGTTTCCTAACTACGGTTCCTAACTGCAGGGGGTGATTTGTTAGGCCTTTTTTAGAAGAAAAGTTTCTATGAACATATGTCTGGAGTTGCTTCGTTTCTGAGATACAGGGCGTTGAAATTAAAGAATAAAAAACGGTAATTATAAAATATCATGAATGTCCTGGAACCGATTAGGTTTAAATTCGGTACTTTTATTTGTCAAATCCTCTAAAATTCAGCATATCAAGTGTCAATTATATTTTTGGCGGAAATAATGAAAAACTCATTTCTCCAATGCAGGTGTTCATGATATGCAATACAGTGGCTTTAATTTTTTTTCTCGGGAACGAAGCTGGATATGAAGGAAATACAAGAGACCAAAAAGTTGTATTTTGAGTTGTTTAATCTTCTGAAAAAAATAAAAATTACCAAAAAAAGTCAGTGGCGTACTTTTTTTCACGATATTGTTGGCTGTGGTGGCCACTGAGACGCCACTAGCCCCAATGATTTCTATCTAAATAGGGCTGAATAAGCGCCTTACTAGTTCAAATAAGAGTACAAAATTTCAACCGAATCGCTTCCAGGATCTTCATGATATTTTGTAATTACCATTTTTTTCTTCAATTTCATCGCCCTGTATCTCAGAAACGAAGCAACTCCGGAAATATGTTCATAGGAACTTTTCTTCCTGAAATGACCTAACGAATCACCACCTGCAGTTAGGAACCGTAGTTAGGGAACACCCTGTATACCAAAGAACGAAATACAACACTTCCCTTCTTTGGTTTACATTATTGGGATTAATCATGAAAGTTTAAACAAATGATTCAATGAATGGCATCAAATACCCATCAGTCAACAAAGATTGATCCCAGAGATACGGAACCAAGTTGAATCTCGTTTTAGTAATGAACTATTTTTTATTTTTCAATTTTGATGAACATTTTTGTTTGTGCAGAAATAATGACCATTATCCATCGAAAAAGCCCACCCTTATATCTTTATGAAGAAAAAAAAACGACATGCGGGTTGAATGCCGCAATGAGGCCTTTCCAGCCCGTATCAAAAGTTTTACAGGCATATCTCTGAAAGCGTGATAAACCACAAATTATCTTTTTCAAATGGAACACCCTGTCTTTTATACGAAAGCTCTGAAGGGACATGGTGAGATATTTTTTAAAAAAATATCTCCCACATTTTTATGTCCCTTCGGGGCTGCTAAAGTAAAATGTAAAATAATTTTAAAAAAATATCTCCCATGTCCCTTCAGAGCCGCTTATAAAAATCATAGAGATATTTTTTCCGGCTGCTGTGTTGCCAAGTGTATTTTATTGTTCGTGGAGTCAAGAATAGTGACTGCGTTTGCGCCAGATCACGTGATCAAGATGTGACCAATAAGGACAAGGGCTGTGGATTTGTACTTTCATAGAGAAAAAGAACCCTCCCCTCTTTGGTGTGTACTGTGTGGTGTGTAAAATGACCATAGATGAAAGATGAAATGAAATACCTTTCTACATATTATATTAGGTTGTCATGTTCTGAAGTTCTGAACTTTCGACAACGTTACTCAATTTTGCATGATATCTTTTATAAATTGATATCATGGTAGAAGTGAAGCAGTTAATCAAACGATACTTTCAGGTAGGATTCAATCTTTCCGAAATAAAAGCATTTTTGATGTTACGACATGACATTCTGATCAGTGAAAGGCAGTTGAAAAGGTACTTGAAACAACTTAATTTGTATCGAAGGAAAAATTACACAGACCTAACATATCAGACTTCATTGACCAACAAATACTTGGTTCAGGTAGTCTGCATGGATATCGATGGATGCACCTGAAATGTTCACAAAATGGTTTGGTAGTCAAAATGAACACTGTGAGGCGTCTCCTGAAGGAAAAAGACCCAGAAGGAGTTGAACTGCGTTCGAGAAATAAGCTGAGACG